ACAGCTGCCTTTGTAACTCTTGTTCCTCTTTCTTCCTTGCTGTGGAAAGGCGACATTGTTATTTTACGGTTTCACCACAGAGCTGGCAATTTTTTCTTCCATTCCACAGCCCTGACTTTATTCTTAAGTGAAGTTAGAGCCAATCTTCTCACCAAGGAACCCTTTATGGACTAAACGAAAACATGAATATCCTTTGTTCAAGGCTCTGTGATTGAGCATCTGCTGTATGCAGAGGGTCTTAGTTCAATCCCCAGAATCCCCAGCTAGGACTGGGATTGAACCTTGGAGAGCTGCCGCCCATCTGTGTAGACAGTGCTGAACTATATGGACCAATGGTCTGATTCTCTAGAAAGCAGTTTCCCATGTTCTTAAATATCAGCTTTGTGTTTTTGTCAGGAATACTGGGAGAGGAAGAGTTAAACTTCCTCTTTCCCCCCAAGCACCCATAGGTCTGAGGCTGCTTAGTCTTCTCCCTGGCTTTTACTCACAAGCAAGTAATTGCTTTCACAGTGGTTGCATTCACATCCAGCATGCCCCTCACCCAAATGCTTATACTGTTATAAACCCTAGGAATTAATAAATGGTAGGAATTTTATTACCGTATTTTTCGCTCTATAAGCCGCACCAGACCATAAGACACACCCAGTTTTTGGAGGAGGAAAACAAGAAAAAAAATATTCTGAATCTAAGAAGCCAGAGCAACAAGAGGGATCGCTGCACAGCGAAAGCAGCGAACCCTCTTGCTGTTCTGGCTTCTGGGATAGCTGTGCAGCCTGCATTTACTCCATAAGACGCATACACATTTCCCCTTACTTTTTAGGAGGGAAAAAGTGAGTCTTATAGAGCAAAAAATACGGTATTTGGAATATTGAAGGGAAGACTGCAACAGGCTAAGCTTCCTTTCCTAGGCAGGGCCCATCAGGGCCAGGCAGAAAGGTGCCAGGGTAACTGGGTGTGAAGTGAGAGCAAAAGAACGTATTTAGCAAGGCGTGCTGGGAAGAAGAAGGGAAAGAACAAGGAGAGATCCATTTGGGGCAGGCTGGCTGGCTGGAGACTGACTGGGAAAGATGCTTTGGACTCCTCTTCTGCACTGCTGTGGGGAACAAGCCCTGCTTGAGATGACCATGCTGTAAGAGCTGGACTCCCCCCATGAAGGTGTAAATAGGTGGAGAAACCACATTTCTTAAAGCTATGACTGTCTCCGCCACGCCTTCAATCCTCTAAAGGAGCAGAAACCCTGGGTGAGTGCCTGGAACCCCCTGGAACCTTGCTACCACTCGCCAGAGAGATGGGGTAGCACCCAACTTTTGTAACAATATTGTATGGACAAGCCATGTGCTACCAAGACCAGAGGCCTAATTCTCCACTGGCTGTCTGAATAGGGAAAAAGCTTGGGGGTGGTGGTGGATGCTTAACCTTTCCTTTATTAGTTGCTTTCCTCTTGAGTGCTCCCAGCTGCCTTAAAGGTAAAGGTAAAGGGACCCCTGATAGTTAAGTCCAGTTGTGAACGACTCTAGGGTTGCTGCGCTCATCTTGCTTTACAGGCCAAGGGAGGCTGCGTTTGTCCTCTCCGCAGACAGTTTTTCCGGGTCATGTGGCCAGCACGACTAAGCCGCTTCTGGCGCAACGGAACACTGACACCAGAGCAGTGTATGGAACGCTGTTTACCTTCCTGCCCGAGTGGTACCTATTAATCTACTTGCACTTTTTGGTGTGCTTTCGAACTGCTAGGTTGGCATTAGCTGGGACCAAGCAATGGGCGATCACCCCATTGCAGGGATTCAAACCACTGATCTTTTGATCGGGAAGCCCAAGGCTCAGTGGTTTAGACCACAGCCCCAGCTGCCTTAATTCCCACCAATGTTCTAGAGCAGTGCTTCTCAAGCTATCTGATGTGGTGGGCAGGCAATTCCCCCCCCCCCACACCCAATGTCCTGTGACCAGTACCATAATTGGTCCTGGAAGAAGGGCTGTGGTGGAATCAGTGGGGACCAGAAGTTGATGGGCTTGTGGACAGACACCTGCCTGCGGACCACCCCTTTGAGTGGTACTGTTCCAGAACCACCTTTAACTTGAAAGCACAGATCAGGAACTCTGCAGGGAACTTCTAGCAAGAGAGAAGTTTCAATTGTTACCTGGCTAGCAAAGGAAGAATGAGAACACTCCCTTCCTTCTAGTTCTTTCTCTGCACTAATTGCTCCCTTCCTTCCAAGCAGTTTTTGATATGGAGGAGGGACTGTCATGTTTTTATTGCACATGAAATTGCTGTGCTCCTTAATGATCTGCTGCATACTCTAATGCATATGTTATGGCACCTCAGAGATTGTTGGGATTCGCAGGATACTGAGTAAGTCTGCAGGCTTCAACAGGATGATGCAATACTCTGTGAAGTGCTGGGTCAGAGTGACTCAGCAGGAGTGTGATTAATGTGATTGGCTATCACCTGTTTTAAAAGGAAAGCCTGTTCAACAGTAACCGTGGTTGTGGTGGTTGTGCTGTGGTATGGTGGTGCTGTGGTGGAGAGTATTCGTTTGCCTTAAGGAGCAGGTACTCTGTATGGACTGTTTTTGTAATTACCTGTATATAGCTCACATTAAAAAGACTGCACTGGAAAACCCTGGGACTCTGAGCGTTTCTGCTAAAAGCGCCGCAAGGAATCGCGACAGGGTTATGGGCCCAGCACGCTTCCGCTGCGCAAGAGTACAGGTGGCAGTTATCTAGCCGTGGGTGCTGGAGGTGAGCTGCAGGGATGGAGCAGTCCAGAACTGGCGTGTTGCTGGAGAAGCTGACGGCCACGAACTACAGCATCTGGTCGGTCCGCATGCAACACTTCCTCAAGCGTGAGGGCCTGTGGAAGGTGGTGGAAACTCCACCGCAGCCCCTGAGGAGGATGAGGACGACGATGAAAGCTGGCACTAGCAGAGGCCCAGCTAGAAAAGGATGAGAAAGCTTTGGCTACGATCATCCTTGGAGTGGACGACAGCCAGCTGGTCTACGTAGCTGATAAGGTGACGGCAAGTGAGGCGTGGAATGCGCTCAAGGCTGTCCATGTGCGAGAGACAGCTGGCTCACTGATAACACTGACCAGGAGACTGTACCGGTGTCGGAAGAAACCGGGGGACTCCCTGGTAAACCACCTAAAATTCCTAACAGGCTGTTTCCAGGAGCTAGCCTTAAGAGGGAGGCCTGTGGGGGAAGAGGACAAAGTCTTTATAGTCCTGAGTTCCCTTGATGACAGCTATGATATGCTAGTCAATTCCCTCGAGTCTGTAGAGACTGGTAAGCTGACTCTGGAATACGTTACTGGACGGTTGTATGCAGAGGAGGACAGGCGTGCAGAGCGAAAGATGACCTCAGCCCAGCTGTTGGAGCATCCCAGAGGGAACAACAGCCGGGAAGAGCAGAGGTGTCGGGAGCCGGAGAAACAGCCAGGAGGAGCTGCTGCAGACCAGCCGGTGGTCAACAAAGTAAAAAGGTGTTTTTGCTGCAAATCCAGTGGACATCTGCTGCGGGACTGCCCGAGAAAACAACAAAAACAGCAGAAGCACAGGAGGCAGCAGAGAGAGTCTACCGCTTGGGTGTCTGCAGATGGTCAAGAAAATGAAGAGCTGTGGGTTCTGGACAGTGGAGCTTCTCAAACCTTTTGTAAAGAAAAGGATTGCTAATTGATGCTAGGGCTTCAAACAAAAACATGTAAGTCTTGCTACGGGCCAGAAAGCTAATGTGGTTTGTGAGGGAGGTTGTGTTCCCACAGCTGGGACACACATTCAGGAATGTGTTGTGTGTGCCTAGTTTGCAAAACAATCTCCTGAGTATTCCTGACTTGGCAAAAGCAGGCTTTGAAGTAAACTTTGTGGGAGATCAGTGCCAGATAAAGCAAAATGGGGCAGTGCTGGCAAATGCTAACCTTAGAACTAATATGTATGTACTGCAGTGTGAGTCTAAGGTTGCGAATGTGCAAAATGTCCCAACCCATGATATGTGTATTCATCTCCTGCACAGGCGTCTGGCTCATGCTAGCTTTAAGGTGCTGAACAAAACATTGGAGCTGTGTGGGGGGATGAAAACATAAAAAGTTGTGATAATTACTTAGACTGCAATATCTGCAAGGAGGTTAAAAGCAGGGCTTGCCCAGTAGCAAGAGCAAAGCCAGAGAGAAACCAAAAAAACCACTGGAGTTGATTCATGCTGATGTAACTGGTCCTTTTCCACCAAGTGTCTCCCATAACAAGTACTGTTTGATCCTAGTGGATGACTATTCTAGATTTGGCTGGGTCTATCCATTAAAGCAAAAGTCTGACGTTGCCCAAACTTTGAAGTTCTGGGTAAGAAGGGGTAGAAAGGCAACTTGGCGAAAAGGTGTGCTCTATTCAGACAGATAGGGGAGGAGAGTTTATGGCAAGCTCCCTGAGAAACTGGTTGCGTTCCCAGGGATTAAACATAGGCTTACCAATGTGACGACGCCTCAGGAGAATGGAGTAGCAGAGCGTAGGGAGGAGTCTAGCAGACACACATCACAGCACTGTTCGCAGATGCAAAACGTCCAATTAAGTCCTGGGCTGAGAGTATTAAGACTGCAAATTATATTGGGAATCGCTTGTGGTCAAGGGTACTAGATGACATACCCTATAAAATTCTCTATAACAAAAGTCCCAGTTTGCAACATTTGAGAATCTTTGGGACAAAGGCGTGGGTTGACATACCTGTAAAGAACCGAAGAAAAGGTGGGAAAAGGGCACAGCAGTTGCTATTTCTTGGGTATGAAAGTGGTACGAAAGCCTACAGGTTTGAAGATGATAAAAATCTTTTGAGTTATAGTCGATCAGCCAGCTTTAATGAGCAAAGAAATTGGCCCAAGATACATGCAAACCTGCTGCCAGAAAAGTTTTACTGCCGAGCGTACCTGATAAGGCAGTTGAAACAAAGCTAAAAATTGGCAGCTCTCCCAGAGAAACTGAAAGGGAGGAGGTAAAGGTTGAGCATTTTCTCCAGCTGCTAGCATGGAGCAGGGGGGAAAAGAAAGTGCAACAGGGACAGGAGGAGGTAGATCTACAGAGTCAATCCACCCCAAAAGCAGTCCTGAAGGTAGCCCAGGGGGTGAGATTAATGAACCAAGGAGGTCTACAAGAAGTAATAAAGGTCAACCTCCAGACCGTTATGGGTTCCCAGTCACCATAAACCAGGTTTGTGTAACTGAGCCAGAAAACTTTGAAGAAGTGCAAGAGTTACCTACTCTAGAGAAAGAGGAGTGGTAATACAGGCGAGATCTCTCTGCTAGGCACGATGTATTAGTACTCTGCTAAATTGCCAAGGTGCTTATACCTGTAATTGCTGAAGGTAAAAGCCATAAGCTGTAAGTGGGTTTTTAAAGTAAAAAAGCTGGCTGATGGTAGTTGTCAGAGGAAAGCCAGGTTGGTGGCAAGGGGCTTTACACAAAGAAAAATGATACATTATGATGAAGTGTTTGCCCCAACAGCAAAGGCTGAAACAGTAAAATCAGTTTTAGCAATGGCAAGTCTGAGAGGGTTAAAAGTTAATCATTTTGATGTTGCTCAGCATATTTAAATGCTCCTATTGACCTAGGTGTATTTACAGCAAATACCAGGTTATGAGCTGGAAAAAGACAGCATGGTGTTAAAACTGCAAAGGGCACTATACGGGTTGCACCAAAGTGCACATCTATGGCATGAATGCATAGACACAACTTTGAAAAAGATGGGATTCAAACAAAGCCTGGCTGATTCCTGTTTATATTCAGCAATGGTGCAAGGAAGTGTTTGTTATTTACTTTTGTATGTTGATGATATCTGTCTAATAACAACTGCACAAAAGCAAGTGTCTTGGTTTATAAACAGCCTAGGTAACAAATACAAACTGAAGTATTTGGGAGGATTCAAATTACTTAGGAGTAGAGGTTCAGAGAAATGAAGAGGGCGTCTACTCTCTGAGTCAGAAGGAAAAAAATTGAAAAGTTACTGAAGATATATGGAATGGAGAGGGCAAATGAGGTTGACACTCCCATAACTACCCAGTACAAAAATGAACCAGAAGGGCAAAAATGTGAGAATGCAACAGCATTTCATTCTCTGTTGTGTTCTCTGTTATATTTAAGTTGTTGGACAAGACCCGACATAACATTGGCAGTGCACATGTTAAGCCAAAGAAGTGCAGACCCTGCTCAGAGAGATTGGGTAGCACTTAAAAGAATCCTAAGGTATCTGAAAGGCACAAAAGATTACAAACTGATGCTGGATACAGGATATGATCAGCAAGTGTATGCATACGCTGATGCCAGCTGGGGGGACAGAGAAAATGGAAAGTCTACCACTGGCTATGCCATATATATTGGAAATGCCCTGGTTCAGTGGAAATCCCAGAAACAAACATTTGTTGCCACAAGTACTTGTGAAGCAGAGTACTCAGCCATAAGCGAATGTGTGTCACAAATAGAGTGGTTTGCTTGCCTAACAAAAGAGCTTGGAACACCTTCTGAAATGCCAATCACTGTGCTAAGTGACAACATGGCTGCACAACAGCTTGCTAACCAACAGAACTTTAAGAGCAAGAGTAAACATATTGCGATAAGATACGGAAATGTGAAAAATGCTTTGGAAAGAAATGTGTTAAAGGTACAGCACTGTAACACAAAATGTAATATGGTGGATTTGTATACAAAATGTTTGGATGCTCCTAAATTTCAAGATTTAAGAGAATTATTAGGTCTCAAGCCTTTGACTTAAGGAGGAGTGTTGGGATTCGCAGGATACTGAGTAAGTCTGCAGGCTTCAACAGGATGATGCAATACTCTGTGAAGTGCTGGGTCAGAGTGACTCAGCAGGAGTGTGATTAATGTGATTGGCTATCACCTGTTTTAAAAGGAAAGCCTGTTCAACAGTAACCGTGGTTGTGGTGGTTGTGCTGTGGTATGGTGGTGCTGTGGTGGAGAGTATTCGTTTGCCTTAAGGAGCAGGTACTCTGTATGGACTGTTTTTGTAATTACCTGTATATAGCTCACATTAAAAAGACTGCACTGGAAAACCCTGGGACTCTGAGCGTTTCTGCTAAAAGCGCCGCAAGGAATCGCGACAGAGATCATCACCTCTGAATATCAAGAAATGCAATGTTTCAGAGAGTCATGGATTCCTCTACAAAAAATGGTCTTCATCAGAATGACATTTTCCAGGTCGGTTTAAGATTTCACTAAACTAATGATGTGTTCCTTGGGCTGTGGCCAATATTCTCTGTCCACTGGCAGATGAGTGAATACTAATGCTATGCAACAAAGGAATACAGTGCAACAGATTCTACTATCTCTTATGCAGCAAAGCAATCCACAACCTGCTTATGCATTCTCTTGACCAACAATGTTAATCCGGCACAAAACATTTTGTCAGTGGAACTTGTATACTGCTAAGTGTTTTTAACTTAGTGCTACATTGGACACAGCCCATAACAGAGAAAAGGTTCAAGGAAGCAGCTGAAAAGTTGTACAATTTGCCTTAGCTGTGCATTTATCATTCTGCTCATAACAAAAGTCGGATAAGACATTCAGACCAAGGTTCAGCACAACTTCCTCATTTCATTACATTTTTTAAGATAATCTCTTTCTCCCATCAAATAGCCAAGAGTGATACCAAAGGGAAGACTTGATTCATGAGTTTTACACTTTACAAGTATCCAAGAGGGCAGTGCAATTTTTCTCACTTCTTCCTCTCCATTAGTAGTTGAACATGTTTCTGATGTGGTCTAGTGCTATATGCCCTCTAGCAAGTGAGAGGGAGATAAAGAACTGCAGTTAGGAGTTATTACTCACAAGGGGCAAACATGGCTGAGCATAAAAAGATGGATTGGAGATATATTGGCCTGAAAATAAGCACAAAAAGTTAGAAGAACCTATTTACCCCAAAGTCAAAAGTATGTGGGTGTATTTTAGGGTCAACTGTATGGACTGCCTGCATCCCTCAACGAAGGTCAGAAAGTAGCTAAGCCTTTTCAACAACAGCTGGGAATGAATTCCCACAAAATCTGCAATGGGCTGTAGGAGTTCTGAAGAAACAAATGTTACTGTAGTAATGAGCAATGGTACAGTGAAACATTGCCTTACAGCTCAACCACATTTACCTTTTGCCCAGCTCTTTCAGGCAAAGGTCTATGCTTTAACACTCCATTTCATTCACACACACACACACACCGTGTGTGTCCCTATCCTTGAGCTTTCCTGCAACCCCCCCTCCCCTTGTCTTTAAAGCTGAATGGGAGCAAATGTCAATTCTGTGTTTGCTTCAATCGAGATTTAAAGAGTGGGTTTTCACAGGGAAAGCTTCAGAGCAAAAAAACGGGGGAATAGGGGGACATTTGGACATGGAATTTTAAAGTGTGGACCATACCTGAAAAGAGCAGAGGAACGGTAAGTATGTATAAGCCCTTAATTATTATGGGCTGGAGTCAAGACTCCATTCTGTAGCTTGAACTTATAGTTGTTTTCATTTTCCTTTGCAGTTGTGTGTTAGCTTATTCCTCAATAAACAGCTTCTTGTCGCATCATACAAAATGAGTAGCCCTGCCTCATATATTAAATAAGAACTTAGCAGTGGTGCAGAGAAAAATCAGATAGATATTCCATCCTGTGGGAGAAATGAGAAATTTAATCCACAAACAGAAGAATTGTAGCAATATGTGGAAAGACTGGGCCACTGTTTCCTTGCTAATGAAATCACTGAGGGTGACAAACAAAAGACAATATTTTCCAGTGCTTGTGAGAGTCAAACTTATTTCCTTTTAAGAAGTTTGGTGCAACCACAAAAGGCAGAGGATAAAAGTTTGGCATAGTTGCAAAAGATCTTGTCTGGCTACTATGCTCCGAGGCAAAGCATAAATGTGGAATGTTTCAAATGTCAAAAGAGGGGGAGGAAGGAAGGTCAATCAATATTGGAGTACAGTGGTAACTTGGTTTAAGAACTTAGTTCATTCTGGAGGTCCGTTCTTAATCTGAGGTACCACTAATGGGGCCTCCCGCTGCTGCCATGCGATTTCTGTTCTCATCCTGAAGCAAAGTTCTTAACCCAAGGTACTATTTCTGGGTTAGCGGAGTCTGTAACCTGAAGCATTTGTAACCCGAGGTACCACTGTATGTAGCTGATCTCAAAAAGCTTACTGAACACCGTTCTTTCTTTCATTCACATTGGTTGGAAGTGTGTCCCAGGAATTCCACAAGCTCAGAAACAATCCACAACAATCTTTGACTGATTTTGCATAGGAAAAAGTCATGGAGGGCGGGCATGTTAGAGGTGTACAAAATTAGGCATGGTGTAAGGACTTTCTCCATATTGCCTAAGAAGATTCAGGGTGAAAAGAGGGTACTTCTATTATGCCCACTCTTACTTGCCTTTTCTCCAAACTGAAAGCCCCAAATGTAACATTTCCTCATAATGGATTTACTCCAACCTTTCAAACATCTGGGTTGTTCTTTTCTGAACCTTTCTAGTGCTATATATCCTTTTTTGAAGTGTGACAACAAAGTACTTCAGTTGCAATTGCACCATTTATTTGTTCAATGGCATCATGATATCAGCAGTTTTATTTTCAGTCTCTTTCCTAATGATCCCTAACAAGGCATGTGCCTTTTTCACAGCTGTTGCACACAAGGCCGACATCTTCATTGAGCTATCCACTACAATCTCATTCCTGATCCATTCATTAGAGTTTACTATCAGGATTCTATTAATTGCCTTTGTAGCATTTTCCGTAATATTGACTGATTTCTAGTAGTGCACTTAGAGGAGCCTCTGTTTCTGTTAAATGTTATTCTCCTGTAATGACAACCTCCCTTAATTATTCTGTATCACTTTCTGTATGCCTCAGAGTACCACAACCACATCTATAAAGACTTGTGTTCTCTCTCCCCCCAGAACCACCATCTTATCTCCACTGAATTCACTGACTTAAAATGCCAGGCAATTAAAACATGATAAATCACTACATGGCACATTCAGAAGGGGTAGAATCTGGTAAGGAAAGCCTATGAGGAGAAATGATGGGGCCAGGCTTTTGGGTTACAGCAAGGCAACAGGGCCGTCCCTATCAATGGGTAGAGTGAGGTAACTACCTTGGGCAGCAGTGGCAGACCCCTGACTATTCCTTGTGAGCCTCCTAGCTGGGCCCTTCTGTTAGCTGATAGAGCTGTGTGTGTCACATAGCCTGCCCCCCCCCATCTCCATAACTAGTCTGCTGCTCTCAAACCATAGCTTAGTGCTAGAGCATCTGCTTTTCCTATGGAAGGCTCTAGATTCAATCCCTAGCATCTTCAGGTAGGACTGGGAAAGGTCCATTTCTGAATACCTGGAGAGTCACTGTCAATCAGTGCAGCAGTGAGTTTGCTCAATGGCCAAGAGGTCTGGCATGATATTAAGGCAGCTTCCTATGGTCTCCTTGTTGCTTTAAATAATTGGTATTTATTGCAGGTTTGCAATTTGGGATTTGCCACTGTTGTTTTATTAATGGAACACTTTTGTGTAGAAAAGTGGATTAGCATTTTTTAAAAAAAACCAATAATAACAGTTTCCTACCTTGCTGCTGTTTATTGGGATGATGCATGAAGTACTCCATGATAGATGGAGTGATATGGATTGAAGTAGAGTTTTTAAAAGTAAAAATAAAAAAGACCTGAGCTGATATAGGAATAAATTCCACATATGCTGTGGATCAGACACCAGCCTTCCTTTTCTGCTTCTTTTTCTATTGAAGTACCATCTGGAATGGGAAATTTAATATCCTGGTTTCAGAGTTCTTGGCAGGTGTGTTGCAATCCCTAATAGAACACTAACTGTTTAGTGACCCTTTTCTCCAACACACTAAAAGAATAAATTACGACTGTCAACATGTTCCAAGATGGAGCATTTTTGATTCCTGCCAAGATGATGGGGGAGGGGAAAACTGTTATTTGTGTTTGATGCATTTTGAAGCTCAGCAAGACCACAGGTGCCTGTCTTGGCCATTGCTATTCGCCTTGCATCACAGAGGACCAGATTAGATGTCAGCTTGTCTTGTCTGATTATGAAAAACCCTCTGAGACGCCTCCTATTAATGCTCCAGTAGTGTTCAATCTAGACAGTCACACATGACATGGGAATATGCAAGTTAGATTATTTGGTATTTCAGGTTTTTGTTATTTTAACCTGGAAATATACAGTATATTGCACAGTGTGGGAGAAAAACACCCAGAAGATGAATTGATTATAGTTTTGCCTGTTAATCCAGATTTTCTGTTCCCACAGGCTAAGCATTTAGCCCATTATGTGTATCATCAGGAGGCATTTTCATTTGAAAGTACACAGATGGGGGCACTTGGGGAAAACTGAGGCAAGGAGGATCTGACACATTCTTATTTCAAGGGCCTTTTTAATTCTTAAAACTTTTAAAACATTATTGACATAACAAAGGCTTCACATTTTTGCCTCAGAGGTTTGTGTCTTTGTCAGCTGCAAAAAAAGAGGATATATTCTAATAAGAATAATAATATGGGCTGAGACATGTAAACATAAAATAAAATAGTTAAAAAATAATAATTACCTCAGGACACTGAATTTGGGAAAAACACATTTAACTATGCATTTCTAAACCTGTAGTGGTTTAAGATGGTAAATAATTAATTGCTTCCCAGCTTTTTTGGCTACTTTCATTATAAAATTCATGATTAAATCATGCATCACTACCCAGTTAATAACAAAAGGTTAACCAAGGT